CTCGGTAAAATGTAATGCTGTTTATGGAATTTAGCCATCATGAGTAAGGTAAAGATACATAATTTTGAGACACTTTGAAACCATTAAAGGAAGTTTTTGAGAAAACTGAAACAGTTTTTGTCCCTTTGCTGATCTTTCTCATGGTGTTATTATAGAAACTCAGAGGTATGTTATGTAAGTAGCTTGATTGAATGTGCACGTTAGGTACACGGTAATTCTCCCGGCAGTGAGTTGGCTTATATGAAATAGAGCAGAGCAGACTTACTTATGCATGCCTTTCCTCATCTGTGAGAAATTGTGTGTGAATAATTATAAATTTCATGTCATGCTTAATAGAGATAGTTTGATAAGAGGAGATTTGAAGGTTGGGTAAACATTGAAGCTGGCAGCTTGGATGGCAGAACTGGAGTAGAAATTTTTGAAATGCAGCTTTAGAAGAGCTCGACGTGAGGCAGGGTAAATTGTACCTTTGAATAAGTCTGTGCCTTGTGTTAGTGAGGTGTGCTGGGAAGGCCAGGGAACCCACACACATTATAAGGCCCAGAGTCCTAAGGTGTACTTAGCTTTGTTTCTAGGAGCTCCGGAATGAAGCTAATAGTTAATAGGAGTAGTGGTACACTGGTATAATTTTCAATATTTGGGAGACTGTTTAAGAAATACTTGCTCAGTGAGTTAATACATGGATTAAATAAATGTAGTCTAAATCATTTTCCAGTTCAAGATTTTGTTTGTGGTCCCAGAAAAATTTAAAAAATGAGCATTTTATTCCTGGTTGTAAAAATAGCATAACAATTTGGAAAAGTTTAAAAAGTATAAAAATGAAAGTAGAAATCACCTGTGCTTCCAGTAATCTCTTAGCTTTCTGGTTTTTCCTTCCAGTATCTTTTCGTATGTGTGTTTAATGATTCATAGAAACATTTTATTTTAAAAGTAATGTATGGTTGTTGTAAACAACAAAATTGATCACATCAGACTTACAAGAAGTAAAAACTAGAAGTTTGTCCTTCACAATTTATCTCCACAGGTAGTAAAAGTCTATGTTATATTTCACAGTGTGGGTATAATATAATTGGTTTTGTTAGTCTGGAGTTGATGAATGTTTAGGTGGTTCCCATTTGGTTTCTTTTTCTTTTTCTTTTCTTTTCTTTTCTTTTTTTTTTTTTTTTACTGTTACCAACAACGGCTTCAATATAGTTGTATGCATGTTTTTAAAAGGTTAGGGCAATTTTCCTCCAAAAATGTCCCAATTCACATTTCTCCAACAAGATTTTAACTCACAGCTTTGTTAGTCTAGGCTAATTAATTAACCCTTAAATTGTAAATATCCTTTTGGCACTATACTAAAACTTGACCAGTGGTAGTTTCTTAAAGTTGCAGTATAGAGTTAGAAGCCATACGGAAAAACCTTTTCCGATTCTCTCTTATATTAAAATCCATTATACTTTATTTACCTGTGCATTTTTTTTTTTTTTTTTAGATTTTATTTATTTATTTGACAGAGAGAGAGAAAGCATAAGTAGGCAGAGAGGCAGGCACAGGGAGAGGGAGAAGCAGACTCCCCACTGAGCAGGAAGCCCGTGCGGGGTTCGATCCTAGGACTCTGGGACCACGACCTGAGCCTAAGGCAGCCGCTTAACCGACTGAGCCACCCAGGTGCCCCTTACCTGTGCATGGATTTATAAACACATGCCTTGGTCACTTGGAAAATACTGGTTTACTGAATTAGATTTTCAATTATTGCTATATTTATTACCTAAAATTAAGTCATAATAGTTAATGTCACCACAGTTTATTGGAAAAGGTATTGTATTTTTCTCTTTTTAGTATTGGGAAGCTTTCAAAGGTCATCCTGGCAGATATGAATTTAGCCAAAATCTGATTTTTATATGAAAGCTTAAATTTTATTATTGGTAACAAATAGGAACAAGTAAATTAGCTCACTTTTTCTTAAAGTAACAGACTCTCTTTGTTCATTTTTGAGAATGCCTTTTATTTATTTATTTTGCTTCATTGCACTGTTGAATAAAAGAGGTGAAAGTGGATACCCTTGTCTTGTTCCCAGTCGTAAATGGAAAGCATTCATTTTTTCACCGTTAATATGACGTTAGTTGTGAGTTTCTCATAGAGGCCCTTTACCAGGTTGAAGAAGTTACCTTGAATTCCAGATTTGCTGAGAGTTAATGTCACACATGCTTTTTCAGTATCTATTAAGATGATATCATGGTTTTTCATATTTATTCTGTTACTGTGGTGAATTGCATTGGTGGATATTTGGATGTTAACATAAACTTGCATTCCTGGGTTAAATTATCCTTGATCATGGTGTCTTGTCCACCCTTAATCCATAATGTCCCACCCTGTGCATAAGGATGTAGTGGATATTCTGTAAGCATTCATTGAATTACTTAAGACAGTGAAAGTTCTTAAATGATTTTGTTTTTGGAAACCTTTGAAAACATTTGAATAAATCAGTCATTTTTTTTTTTTAAAGATTTTATTTATTTATTTATCAGACAGAGAGAGAGAGAGAGTGTGCACAAGCAGGGGGTGGGGCAGAGGAAGAAGCAGATTACCTGCTGAGCAAGGAGCCTGATGTGGGACTCGATCCCAGGACCCCAGGATTGTGATCTGAGCCGAAGGCAGATGCACGTAACCCGACTGAGCCCCCCAGGCGTCCCTGAATCAGTCATTTAATCAACCAAAGTATATTGCTGCCTTATTGAGAGGTCATTTCACAACAACTTCAATTATTAGGAATACAGATAGTGACTCAGAAGAAAGTCAAAAAGCCCTCTGACAGTCCTTTCATGGAAGAACCTCAGAACCTGTTTATTTTTACATTCCATATATAGTTCTAACAAGCTTGATCTGGTTTGCTTGCATCCTACAGATCAGAAGCAATAAACTAAAGAGTAGAAGTGAGTTATTAGAGATTGCTAAATTAACAGCATGAAAATTAACTTTCAGTGGTAGAGTGGGGAAAGCAAGACATTGTGGAAATAATTTTAAAAACTTAGTAGCTGAGAAGTTTTAATGTCTTAATTGCAGCTCCAGGTTCTTAATAGCATAATAAAAGCAGTGTATAGCACAATAAAAGTAGTATTTCAGAGTTGGAATAAACTTTCGTGAGCTGCTCATTCACTATTTCTGAACTTTTTTTTTTTTTCTACATGTGTGAGGGGTAGATCTGACACATGGATGCAAGACAGGCTCTGATAAGAGTGGCTTACACTAAAATAGTGATACCCTGTGATGAAGGGAAGTACAGTGTGTGTGTGTGTGTGTGTGTGTGTGTGTGTGTGTGTGGTGGGATGTACAGACATACACACATGGAGGGGTTGGACGGGAATCTCTTTCTGGGGAGGGGGATCATGTATGGAGTTTGAACTTGTCCCCTTTTCCCCACCCGCACCATGATTTATTATCTTGCCTTCCCATCCCCAGATGTCCTGCTGCCTCGCTCATTCACATTTGAGGAAATCTGGTCTTATCCAAACTACTAATGTTATGGAGAAGCAAAGTGAAATGTATTTAAAAAAGAATAGGACAGTTTAGAAAAAAATAAGAAAGTTTTATCTTGAGAGAGTCTTTTCCCTTTTTTTTTTTTTTTAAAGATTTTATTTACTTATTTGACAGAGAGAGACACAGCGAGAGAGGGAACACAAGCAGGGGGAGTGGGAGAGGGAGAAGCAGGCTTCCCGCCGAGCAGGGAGCCCGATGCGGGGCTCGATCCCAGGACCCTGGGATCATGACCTGAGCCGAAGGCAGATGCTTAATGACTGAGCCACCCAGGCGCCCAAGTCTTTTCCCTTCTAAAATTACTAAAAACAAACTAGCAAGCAGGAATAAAAATCACTTGGAAGTAAAAGTGAGACATTGAAGATGGAAGAAGTTTACTTTGTACAAATGAATAAATAAATATATTGTTAAGATAAATTGGTCACTGATGATATGTTAGTTTATTTTGAAACTCTTAGTTCTAAAAATCAAATACAGATGATTTCTGTGCATTTAGATTTCATATTTGGAGTTCGTATTATTTTATATTATCATATAATAAATTACTTAGTATTTAGTGGCATAGTGCAAGAGATTTCCTTATCTCCCAATTTCCATGGGCCAGGACTCCAGGGATGGGTGAACTGGGTCTTCTGTTGAGGATTTTGCAAGGCTGTAATCAAGGTGTAAGCTTGGACTAGAGTCTGGCTTGAGGCTCAGAGTCCTTGCTCACTGGTTATTTCCAGAGTTCAGTTCCTTACGGCTATGGGATTGAGGCCCTCAGTTCCTAGAGCCTGCCCACCATTCCAGGGCATGTGGCATCTTCTATGACAGGACAGTTTGCTTCTTAAAAATCAACAAGAGAGCTTCTCTGCTGCTTTGAATATCTTTGACTTTTAGACCCTCTTTTTTAAAGGGCTTACCTGTTAGGTCAGGCCCACTGATGGGGCCTTAATTACATCACCTTTGACACGTAACGTAACCTAATTGCAGGAGTGGAATCTGGGGGTCTTATCTGCGCTCACGGGGAGGGAGTTGTATGGCGTGTGTACACCAGAGGACGGGAATCTTGGAGGATGATGCTAGCATTATGCCTCCCTCAGACTTACTCAAGAGAGGAGCGACTTCTTTGTTAAAAAAAAAAAAAATTGGATCTTTCCGGTGCAGCAAGCGTTTCTGTAGGCCGTGGAAATACGAGGCTAAAAGGCCCCGTTCCTGGCTCTGGTGAGGTGTTGGAGACCAACACGGAAGCACTGTCTGCGATGTTGTTCGGTAATGCAGCTGCAGGACAGGTGTAACCAGGCTGACCTGTGAACATGAAAAAGGTACAGGGAGGGAGAAGGTTGGCTCAGGAAAAGTTCATTGTGTGTATGGAAGAAGTGCAAATACTGCTGCACTTCTTAAAAAGACAAAAATATTTCCTAAATTGCTTACTAATTTTTAGGAAGAAAAGTTGGATATTTAAGATGAGGAAATAATTAAAATCCTTTTTTTCCCCCCAGATGGTATACCTCAAGTTTACTATTTTGGCCCTTGTGGTAAATACAACGCCATGGTGCTCGAACTGCTGGGACCTAGTTTGGAAGATTTGTTTGATTTATGTGACAGGACGTTTTCTCTTAAGACAGTTCTCATGATCGCTATCCAGCTGGTAAGTCAAGCAGAAGGTTCTGAAACTGTTTGAATGGTTGTATGGTTCTTTTGGTCACACATTCATAATGAAAGTTTCAAGTTTTGTGATGTTACCTTTACAGAACATTTGATCTAATGAAGTTTTTATTAGGTTGCATAGAACTTAAAATAACTGAGCCAGCTGTTTTTTATTTGGGTGAAAGACTGCTTTAAGATCAGAATGTTCTCAAGTTTGAGAATTGTTTCTAGCCCTGTTTTCATACAGAAGATGAATGCTTAGAAAAGAGAACCCTCAGAAACATGGATTTATAATGTTAGTAATAAATTCTAATGGCCTAGAAAAAGAAGAAACAATGAGGGAGTCATAAAATATTTAAATTTCAGGAAACCAATGGGGAAACAACTTAGAGGATGATTTAAGGCAGTTTTGAAATCTCTGCCAATAGTATTTTGCAAAATCTTAAAGTTGTTTTTCTCCATTGACTCATTAATTCCACCTCTACAGATATATCCAGTGGAACTCTTCACATACACTTAAAGTTTTTTGTGCAAGGATGTTTATCATAACATGGGAAACAACCCAAATATAGAGAAATTACAGCATTAGTTGAGTAAATTATTAATAGCCATAAAATAATATGTAGCCATTAAAAAGTGTGTATTAAAAGAATGTCCTATAACCTGGAAAATGCTCAACATATATCATTAATGAAAAATATGGGTCATAGAAATACTGTATATTATGATCCAGAATTTGTTAACAAACGAAAATGGCCTAAGTGACTGTATGTGTACATTGTGTTGTCAACCATTATTATGGTTAAATGAAGCAATTTTGTTTTCTTGTTCGTAATGTCCTATGTTGTGATATTTTGTACAATGAACATTATTTGAGAATGTGTAAAAGAATTGGTGAAAATGTACTATATTAAAATTAAAGTGGTCTTCCAAAATTTTCTGGTTTTAAGATCTTTTAAAATGTTTAATACCTAAGGAAAGATATAAGTAAGTTATAAAAAGGAAAAAGAAAGATATCCTGAAGGGTACTGTGTTGTTTTTATTTAACAGTTTAGATTGTAAGTTTCTTTAATATAACTGTAACAGTTGCTCGATGATTGAATTGATAAGGAAGAACAAATGGTGACTTTATGAATATGTCTCTTTATATGTCTCAGTTCAAGACTTGGTATTAGTAAATAAAGCTTTTTGATTGTCTGAGGTGGCATCATCTGTAAGTGCTGTCTGAATCTGGCCCACTGGTATGAAAGGAATTCATGAAATTCAAATACTTTCTTTTATAAGTGACCATTACAGTGAAAGCAAAGACCTTTGGTCATAATTGGATATATTTTTAAGAAACTATAGACTGATTATTATGTTACTTTTAAAGGGCTGAAACAGTTTCTAATTATTTTCTTCTTTATGTTGTTTATGAGAATTTTGTCTTGTCTCTATTGTGCTTTTTTATGCTAGTGACAGCCTAAAATAAAATTTTCTTTCTTTCTTTTCTTTTTTTCTTTTTTTTGTGAATCAAGATCTCTCGCATGGAATATGTCCACTCAAAGAACTTGATATACAGAGATGTAAAGCCTGAGAACTTCTTAATAGGACGACCAGGAAACAAAACCCAGCAAGTTATTCATATTATAGATTTTGGTTTGGCAAAGGAATATATTGATCCGGAGACAAAGAAACACATACCATACAGAGAACACAAGAGCCTTACAGGAACAGCTAGATATATGAGCATAAACACACATTTAGGAAAAGGTATGTGTACCTTTCATAAGTACAGAAATTTGAATTCAGTAACTGTGCTAACAGTGTGAGTTTTTATTTGTTATTATGGTTCAATTTTGGTTGGTTACAGTTGCTTCTGTTGTAATCTTTATTAATCACATCTAGCTAGAGTTTACTTTGATTTATATTTAATACAGTTCTTTTAAAATAAGTTACTCTAGAGTAAATGAATGACAGATATCCTCATATTCACTCTGTCCTTTGTTTTATATGACAACTTGAAATGTTCAACTTTGATACAATTAGGCTGATACCTATGATTTTAATTGAAAGATATGAGAGAATACTTAATTTTTTAACTGCATTTAATGTGTGTGAAGATTTTTGAGACTGGCTTTTTGATACAGCCATTTTTTGACATGTACATTTAATGCTGGGAGTACATACATTAGTGGTTTTGTTTACTCTGTAGTAACTATATAATTTTGGGCAAATTATTTAACTTTTTAAAGGGGGTTCCTTATAAAATAGTATCAACCTCACAGGGTTTCTTACAGCTTTTTTTTTTTTTTCCCCTGTCCAGGATCCATTCTAGGAACATATATTTCATTTATTTGTCACATCTCTTTAGTCTCTTTTTATCTGGAACACTCCTTTACCTTTCTTTTTTTTTGGATCCTTTACCTTTCTTCATGGTTCATGACCTTCATATTTTTGTGGAGTACCTATGGGCTATTTTGTAGAATATCTTCAATTTGAGTCTGTCTCATAATTTCGTCATGATTATATTTGTGCATTTGTAGCACAAAATCACAAGTGATATGTTGTCAGTGCATCATGTCAGGAGGCATAGGATGTCATCTGGTTGCATGTAGTTTTGATCCCTTGCTTAGTGTAGTGTCTGCTAAGTTCCTCCACCTACAGGTTTTCTATTTTCCCTTTGCAATTCAAGAATATTTTGTAAGTGGATTTGTGAGATTATGTGAATAAAAATATGTTGTTCCTCATCAAATTTTACCCACTAGATTTAGTTAGCATCCATTGATGATTTTCTAATTCATCATTCCTTGTGTATTTATCAATAATCTAATGTAAGCAGAAGCTTTTTCTTCTTTTCCCATTTATTGACTAAAGTCAGTTTGGACTCAATGGATTCTTACTGAAAGTAGTATAGTTTATTACTGTCATTATTTATTTTGATACGTTGTCCTAGATTTGGCCATTGGTTCCTCCATCAAGCTGGCTGCTCTGTCCTTCTGGCTTATTCTCATGATTCTTTGAGAACTTTACTTTCTGGAGCTACCAGTTGTTCCAGATTCATCTTGTAGTTTCTCTGCTCTAGCCCAGAAACAGACATTTCTCCAAGTTTCCCTGGGTCCTTTTATTGGATGATGTTATGTGGAAAGCAAGATTTGGGCACTGGGTGTACTCACTGCTACTGATGTGTTACTGCTTCTAGGCCCCTTCTGCAGCAGAACTACGAAATGCATATGTGTATGTGAATCACATGTCCACACATATATACACATGCAAATTGCATATGTACACATATATTAATACTATCTCCTAAGAATCATGAGTTGATTATGATACTTTTAATTTCATTCTAAGACCACAAAGTAGTATTCCCGTTTCCATATGTGTAATTCCCTTCTCTTCTCTGTTTATGTTTTTCTTTGCCAACAGTGAGAAATCTGGCTACCACTACTCTATTTACTCATTGTTAGAAGCCTAGGATCCTCAGAATGTCATTTCAGAATTGGTAACTAATAGCAGTATGTAAAGCAAGCCTACTAGAATTGACAGTATTTATAATTCTTATTTTTTTGAAAAGTTCATTTTTTAAAATGAAATAAAATTTACATTGAGTAAAGTTTACAACATTTGAGTATGTAATTTGTGATTTTTTGACATATGTACACATGTGAGTAGCCCACAATCCTATCAAGATTTACATTATCATCCCCTAGACTTCATTCTTGCTTTCTCCCCACTTTCTCCAAAAGTAACCATTGATGTGATTTCTATCACCATAGATTAGTTTTGCTGATTCTGTTACTTCATATAAATGGAATCATCTGGCTTCTTTTGCTCAGTATGAGATTATTGTTTGTTTTTCAAGAATCGGTAATTTGTTTTTGTTTTTGATTTTTTTTTCTTTTTCTTTTTTAGAGAAGGGGGAGGGGTAGTGGGAGAAGGGGAGAGAGTGAGAGAATCTTAAGCAGGCTCCACACCCAGCACGGAGCCTGATGTGGGGCTTGATCTCATTACTCCGAGATTATGACCTGAGCTGAGATCATGACCTGAGCCGAGATCAAGAGTTGGACAGGACACTCAACTGACTGAGCCACCCAGGGGCCCAGTAATTTGTTTCTTTTTAAGGCTCAGTAGTATTCCATTGCACAAATACACCACACAAGTTTTTATTTATTCTAATGTTGATGAACATTTTGATTATTAACAGTGTTTTACTATTAGGAATTTTTAAATCTTTCAGTGGGCATATGTGTTTAGTTCTTTTGGGTAAATACCTAAAATTGGAATTGCTGTTGGGTCATATGGTAGGTATTGTTTAACTTCATAGAAAACTGCCCATCAGTGCCCCAAAGCATTCTTAACCATTTTCTGTTTCCACCAGCAGCGAATGGGAGTTGTCTGTTTCACAGTCTTGACAACATTTGGAGTTGTCATTCTTTTTCATTCTAGCTGTTGTAGTAGATATGTAGTAGTTTCTCTTCTGAGCACTGTTACTTGTGCTTATTGACCATTTGTATATCTTTTATGACATGTGTGTCATTTAATTGTTGATTTGTAGAAATTCTTTATATATTCTGGATATAAATTCTTTCCCAAATATATGTACTGTGAATAGATTCTTCTAGTCTGTGGCTTACCTACTCATTTTCTTAGTGGTGTCAATAGATGTGCAAAAGTTGTAAATATTTGTGAAATCAATTATTTATCAGTTTTTTTGTTTTATGATTACTACTTTTTGAATCCTAAGAAATCTTTGTCCCCAGGAGATGAAAGACGTTTTATGTTTTCTTCTACCATCTACAATTAATTTTTATATGGTGTGAATTAGGGATTGAGGTTCTTTTTATGATACCATATTCTTTCCCATTGAGTTACCTCTTTGCTTTTCTAAAAAAATCAGTTCTAGGTTATGTTTATAGTAGTTGATTCTTAAGTCTTAAACCATGGTCAGTTTTCATATCGGAGAAAGTCAAACTTTATTTTCTGCTTTTAGATTCCATCCCTGACATCTCACTCACAAGGAAGAATAGACAGAAATGTAAACCAGTCAGTACTTACCCATCATCACTGCTTAAGCGTACCTTGCAGTGTAGTCACTTTTTGTTCAAGACCTTAGCAGTCATCTCACCCAGGCTTCAACTCCTGGTCATAGCTTCTTCTCTGACCATTCTTCCCAGACTTACCTGCTATATATGGCATGTCCTTGCTTCTTCCTCTCAGTCAGAACTAAGAGCACTTGCTCACTAATAGCATTTTCCCTGACAGCTCCTGATAGTAGAACCATGGTATTTTTTCTCCTCAGCTGTCTGAAACACCTGAAAAATATAAATCTGCCTTACTTTAAGAAAAGTAAGTTTCAAATATCTAAAATTAGTTGCATTCAGGTAGTGTTTGTGGGGGGAGTGCCTTTCAATAGCAAACTTTCATGATAGATTTAAAATTAGATTGAGTAGATACACAACTTTCAGGATTGTGTCTTCTGTTAAAATCAGGCATACCTGTATTTATATGAACAGTGTCTGTGAGAGATTTTCATTTCATGGTAGTTAACAGACTATTTCATAACAACTAACAAAGGTTCGCCACCATTTTATTGTGAGACATGAAGTCACGACTTCCTTATGGCCCGATGTTTTTTTATCTGAACAATGGTAAATGTAACAGCATTCTATTTGTAGAAATGGCAAAGCGAATCTGATACGTTTGTCCTTGTTAGGAAAAGCCTTCAGAGCTTGGGAAATGGCATTTAACTGTTACAGTAATCTCTTTTTGCTCCTTTTTCAGGAAGAAAACAAACAAACAAAACATTTCTTTGGCAAGTATTGCAAAGAACAAAGCTTTAATCCTTACTTTCTCCTATTTACAGAAGCCCTGCTTCTCAATTTTTATGTAGTACTTGGGAAGTAGATGGGCAGTATTAACAGAGAAAATTTGTTTCCCAGATTACATGATTTCCTGTTTTTTAAGAAATTAAGAGTAAGCTAAAGTCACGTGAGTTTAAGTGGTGAAGAGTTTAAGCATTTTTATAAGTGAGGTGGCTGTGAACATGGGCTTATTAGTGATGTTTTGAGTTTAAAGCAGCTTTATGAGGAGTTAGGAACAGATAGAAAAGAAAAAGTAGTGAAAATGGGATCTTTTAGTGGTGATTTTATTTTGCGTATATATTTTTTCCTTTCCGCTTTGCCTGGACTTTGGTGATTACTCTTTTAAGAGGAATTAAAGCCTTCTTATTCATTCATTTACTCTTGTGCATTCAAGGACTTCCTACACACATGAGCATTTCAAAAGAGAATTTGGCCAGACAGACCTTGTGCAGGTTTGTAAGTATTTTTCTTTTGTGGAGATTGTGCACTGTATTGGATTTAAAAAGGAAAAAGCTAGAAGAATAGTGTAAAATCACAGTGTGGATTTTAGCCCCTTTATTCCTGTGGTATATATATATCTGTTGATGTTCACTGGACGATTAATGTTAAGGCAGATGTCGTGATTCATTTGTGTACCTCTTATAACTTCTTAAGTCACTGTTCAAGGTGAAATCTTACTAGAGCTGTGTGTGACGTGGATTTCTGTGGTCTGCTGTAGTGGAAGCCTTCTTTTATTATGTTGAGATATTATTTTAAACTGTATCTGCTTGAGTGTCCTATTTTTAATATCTTTTTCAAGACTTTTTTTTTGGGGGGGTCAACTGCTTTGAACCTCATTTTATAATCTTCCTTTGGATCACCTTTTTTTTCCTTTCATGAAAAAACTCTTCTTGTTGAAGTCATTTGAAA